GACGAGGAGTCAGAAAAGGAAAATAGACTCAGACCTTTGGGTCTCCTCTAAGAAATCAAGATTTACACCAAGAAAGACAGCTTAGATTCCCAAAAATAATTAGAAGTCAAAGATCAATGAAAGGTATAAGACCATTTCGGTTCAGGGAGGTGTAGTATTGTATGTAAATGAGGTATTACTATATAAGCAGTATGCCACAGTGAATGTCAGTCAATCCACCATCTGTTGACCTGTCAACGTCTATTCCAGAGAGTATTCTATTTCATAACACCATTTTTTTGACTTTATGGCAGTGCAAGAGACAAGAGTCTGGATTTGAGATCTTAGATTATTTCTTCTTAGTTCTTCCATCCATTTGCCCCAAATTGTCAAAAAGGCTACCTGCCACTTTCCTCTGCTTTTCTTGTTTTCAATATGCACTGTGAGTGTTAAATTCTCCAATCCTTCTTAATTTACTAGATGTCCTAAAAATTTCAGCTTCCTATTTCTGGTTGTTTTTATCAGTTTATTTGCAGTTACTATTCTTCTTAAAAACTTCCTCATTTGCTGCATGCTATATCCATGGTATTCTCAACATTTGTCATGAGATTGCCAATTTTACATATGGAAATGCAGGCAATTCATAGCAGTGAAGCAATCTTTTTTCTTTTCTAATGTTATTTTGGATCCCTTTCTACTTTATTCATTTTCTGTCTTATCCATTACAGAATTTTCAATAATAACAATTGTCCACATTTTAATGTGGTGATATAAATGCAATCTTTTACATTTCACTTGTGAGTGACCAACTCTAAGATTATTACAAAGTATAATTATTATTGAGAAATCAATCTGATGTTATAACATTTGGTATGTTTAGCAGAGCTACACAATTCATCTGGAGTTCTTCCTTCTAAACACTTTAAAGAACTTGGTATGTGGATCAGTTATAACAAATTTAGTATAGGAGATAAAGAAATTGAATATAGAATAGACTTTGCTGGTGGTAGTTTTGTCCATCACTACAAGATGGGGCAAAACCAAGATATTAACCTAAGAATTGAAGTCATGTTCTTAAATAGCCTCCTCTAATCTAGACTCTCATCTGAATGATATGCATGGCATCCATTTTGTTTGGAAATATCTAAGCTGTCACCTACATATAACTGTTTTCTTAGATCAATGATTAAAAATGGCTTCAAACAAATGAATCCTCTTGGTTTTAAAGAACATGTCATCAGTTCTTATAGGCTGGCATTACAGTATCATGCAAAAAGAACCAAATATAAAAATCATATCACTTGAAGACTTCCAACAACAGCTAGAACTAAAGTGGATAGAACATGTAGCTAAAAATAAAAATAATGATATAATCATGATGTTAACATTTCACACTACCTTAAGCAAAAGGTTAGGAAGGAAACTTCAATCAATACTAGAAAGTGTGATAATGTATTTGAGAAACCTGTTTTCAGAAAAAAGATTTTATAAATTTCAACCAACAAAAACAGTATTTTTTTGGTGAATGAATGACTAATATTTCCTGTATGGAAAAAGTTAAACTCACCATTACCATTTTCTGTAAATACAGGAAGAATAATTTGTGAATTTAGAAGGTTGCTATTTAATTCTTCATTCAGTTACTCAGAATCCCTGCTGATGACTGTTTTATGTTCTTGATGGCAACAAACTAATGATTTTTAACACACACTTCTTTTATGTGCCCTGTCTCTTCAGGATGTAAGCAATCATGGCCCTCCACATCTTCCTGTCACTTGTAACTCTTAATAAATGTTGCCTTTTTGTTATTTCTCCCAAATCCTGTTCTACCATCCATTTACTCAAGCTCATCAAGTGTGTTATGCACTGCTATCTTCTGTCCCTTTTTCCCTCAATCTGTCTCCTGAGCATCAGATTTTCCAAGCCTTCCTTCCTCATTATGTACCCCAGAAATTTCAACTATCTCTTCCTGATGCTAAGTAAAACTTTCCTTTTTGTTTTCATTTTCTCTAAAACCTTGTTGTTGCTCACATATTTGGTCCATGGTATCCTCAGCATCCTTCTGTAGAACCACATTTCTGTTGCTTCAAGAATCTTTATCATCATTGAGATTGTCCAGCATTTGCTGCCATATAGGAGAACAGATATCATGTAACAGTTCAATACTCTTTTCTTTGTTTAGAACAAAATTTTTCTGTCTCTTAATACTTTGCTTAACCTTTGACTATCCTAATACGTCTTTGCATCTTAGTACCACATTTTCTATTCTCTGTTAGAACACTTCCTAGATATTTTTCTGACTTTTAATACTTTGCTTAGGTTTTGGAATGCATTTTGACCATCCTAATATGTCTTTGGATCTTAATGTCACATTTTCTGTTCTCTGTTAGAACACTTCATAGATATTTAAATTTTTGTACTTGTTTGATTTTAGTATTCCTGATTTGTAATTTGCATCTTGGACTCAGTCTTTTACTAATAATGATGCATTCCATCATGTAGTAGTTTATATTTAGTCATGTCTTCTCACTTTACTTTGCTAGCTTCTGTAGGAGCTTTTGGAAATGATCGAATTTCATTGAATTTTTTTGAAGGGTTTCTTGCTTAAGCAAAATCTTTCAGCAACCTCTCATAATAAAAAAACAAAAAACAATTGATACTTTTTATACTGAAAAATAGATATAATATTTATAGGGAAAATAACATGTTTCTTTGTTGAGGTTGCATATAATAATAGTATTGAAATTAATAAATATTTCTAGAATTAATAAGAAGAGTAATAAAATGAGTTGTGATAAAATTATAGAAATCAATATTTTTTCACTTTCTAATCATAATTCAAATAAGTAACATGTAAAATTAGTGGTAATAAAATAACAAAAGTAATAATTTTTTGAATAGATAATTTTGAAAAATTAATAGTATCATCCATGTACTTATATCAGATTGAAAGGCTTCAGTCGAGTGGAGCATGATCTTAAAAAAAGAAAACTCTATACAGATGTTATAAATCACTGGGAAAGTGAACCACCCCAGAACTAGAATTTTTTATTCTTGGTTGATACTTTTGTTAAAAAGGTTTACCACATTGAAATATGCAACTAAAATTAATAAATGTACATATTTTGGCAATATTGGACCTTCATGCTGACAAAAAAAAAAAACAGTGTGTTAAAAGGAAGGTTTTTCCCCTTGACACCACTTACATTTTTAACTACCTTCACTCTTGGCAATGTTTATTGTTTTAAAAAGCATTTAAAAATTTTAATAAAACCTAAAAAGTGAATTTTTACATTTTCTTTGTTCTTGAAAATTGACAGCAAAAATAATAAATACTACTTATTAATTAGATTGTTTATTGGAATGGTTGTCAAAACATTGGTTAATTGCCAATCAATTCAAACTTTATAAAATGGTTAATAATAAGGGTTTCCCTATAGTTGATTCACATATTTTAATAATTTAATAAATGTTTATAAATTTATGAACAAAAAATTGTTTTATATTTATTTCTTTATAAATTGGTAAATGATAAATATTGCATTGCATCAGTTTTAAATTAGTTTTTAAAATGTTGTAAATAAAAAATAATTCTTGTAAATAAACAATTTAATAAATAAATAATGTCTCATATTTTTATTGTAAATTGTCAAGAACAAAAAAATTCGTTTTTATCATATGTTTAGGTTTTATTACCCAACCATTCCTTTTATACAGCATTTTGGTGGGGACACGAAGGTCCAAGATTGCTGATATTTCTAGAATTAATAAGGCTAAAGATAAAATTAGTTGTTTTATAGTACTAAAAAGTTTCATAATAATTCAAATAATTATCAACTAAAATTACTTATAATAAAATAAAATTAGTAAAATTTCTGAGTGGATATCTTTGAAAATTAACAGCACAAGTAAGAAGGTAGAGAAAAAAAATGAAGAAAAAAGACTTAGATTAAAAAAAAGATATTAGAAGAAAGAGATGACAGAGGATGAGAGAGGAAAGAGGGGAAGAGAGGGAAGAGAATGAGAGAAGAAATAGAGGAAAGAGAATGAGAGAATTAAGAGAGAGAAGAAAATAAGAGAAAGAAAGAGGGAAGAGAATGAGAGAAGAAAGAGATGCAAGAGAATGAGAGAATTAAGACAGGGAAGAGAATAAGAGAAGAAAGAGAGATAAGAGAAGAAAGAGAAGGAAGAGAATGAGAGAAGAAAGGGAGGGGAGAGATGCGAGTGAATGAGAGAAGAATGAAAGAGAAGATAATGAGAGTAGAAAGAGAATGAGAGAAGAAAGAGATGGAAAAGAATAAGAGAGGCAAGAGAATGAGAGAAGAAAGGGAAGAGAATGAGAGAAAAAAGAAAGGGAAGAGAATGAGAGAAGAAAGAGAGGTAAGAGAAGAGTGGGAAGGGAATGAAAGAAGAAAGAGAGAGAATGAAATGAAAGAAAAAAGAAAATTAAGAGAATGGGAGAAGAAAGAGTGAGTGATGAAGAAAAGGTTTTAAAATATTGAAAAAAAAAAATGTGAAAAAATGTATATTTCCGAACTAATTTTTGCCACACTACGATAATTTGCACTGACAACAAATTTTATTTGTGCATTCAACCCCCATCCCTCCAAATACACATTCTCTACTAAGCAATATGTTACCACCAACATAATAACCTCCCCCTGCATCCTAGTAGCATGTCTTTGTCTTTAACATGAAAAGTCCTTTTCAACTGCTCTAGCTACAGGCATTAATACTTTGATTTAATTTAATTTCACTTTCATGGACATTCTGACTTTAAGCCCAACCTCACCCTTTCACCAAGTTCCACATTTTCATTCTATTTGTTCTGTTATCAAGACCAAGATCATTATTATTATTCATTCATTTTACACCAGATCTGGGCCCAGCCTTGCCTGCAATAGTTGTAACTATTACTCTCTCTCTCTCTCTCTCTCTCTATTTGTCTGATGTGGAATCTATCATTACTCCCTCTTAATTTCTATCTTACATTTTCCTCCAGATTTGGTTCCATGCCTTGAATGGAATGGATTCTGCTGTCAATCAGTCAGAGTCAGCCTCTCCCCGCCCTCATATTTCCTTTTTCTCCAGATCTGGATCCATCTCTTGCCTGCAATGATCTCTCTCTCTCTCTCTCTCTCTCTCTCTCTCTCTCTGAGTATTGAATCATATTTGTTCTTTTCTTTTTATGTGCCATGTCCTTTCAGAATGTAGGCGATCATGGCTCTCCTCCTCCCTCTATCCCTTGTAGCTCTCAGCAAGTTCCTTTCCTCTGCTTCCTCCCCCAGACCACGTTCTTTCATCCACCTGCTCAAGCTCATCAGGTATGTCACATGCTGCTTTCCCTTATCTCACTTTCCCTCTATTTGACCCGTGTGTATCAGATTCTCCAGACTCTCTTACTTCATTATGTGTCCCAGAAACTTCAACTGACTCTTTCCGATGTTAAGTATAAGCCTTCTCCTTGTTTGTAACCTATCTAAGACTTCATCATTGCTCATATACTCAGTCCATGATATCCTCAGTATCCATCTGTAGAACCACATCTCCGTTGCCTTGAGTCTCTTCTTCATTCTTGAGGAAATTGTCCAATATTTGCTGCTGTAAAGAAGAACAGATGTCATGTAACAGCTCAGTATTCTTTTCTTTGTTACCAAAGAAATCCTCCTGTCTTGCGATACTCTGTTCAGCTTTTGGAATGCTTCTTTGGCCATCCCAATACGTCTACGGATCTCAGTGTCGCAAGACATTCTGTTAAGATGATTTCCAGATATTTAAACTTCTGCGTCTACTTGATTCTAACATTCCCTACCTGCAAATCGCACTTCAGACTCTTCCTCTTACTAATGACCATGCATTCCATCTTGTAGTTTATGCTTAGTCCTTCTCACTCCCTGTCGCTACCTTCTGTAGGAGATTTTGTAATTTCTCTTCTGTGTCTGCTATTAGTACTGTGTCATCTGCGTATCTTATGTTGTTAAGGTTTTGTCTGCCAATGCTAATTCCCGGTCAGGTTTCCAATTCTCTCAGAATTGCCTCACTGTATAGGTTGAACAGGTCGGGTGAGAAGACGTATCCTTGCCTTATGCCCCTTTCTATTTTCGTATAGTCATTGAACTCATTCCCTATGTGTATACATGCTGTTTGCTGCCAGTATAGGTTCTTGATTATTTTGATATCCCTCCCAAATATATCAAGGTTGCTGAGCAGTTCCATCAGATCCTTGTGGCATACTTTGTTGAAAACCGTTGCATAGTCTATGAAACATAGGTACATGTCCTTCTGCATCTGTATTGCTCTTTCTGATAATATTCTGAGCATGAATGAATGTTCTGGTGTCTTTAACATACCCGCATTTTTTGTTTAGCCACTCTTCTTTAGCTTGTCTGCATTTGGTCCTTATTTCATTGTGTAATTTTCTGTACTCCATCCCATATCTTGGCAGAGTTTTCTGTCTTCTTTCCACCACATTGAGAATCTCATCAGTCATCCAATTGTTTTTCCTTCTCTGTCCTGTCTCCTTTGGGATGTTATCATTTGCTGATGTCACTAAAGCATCTCTTCGTGCATCCCATTTTGAGTTTCCATTGCGTGCCTCTTATCTTCTCTTCACATTGTCTATATATTTTTTCTTTTTGATTAGGATCACTCAGGAGCTTGTTGTATTGCAATTTGGGTGCTGCATTAGGTTTCTTCAGCTTCCGCAGTTTCACTCTTAGTTTACATATAAGAGGGTGATGATCACTTTAGCAGTTGGCACTTGGGTAGGTTTTGCAGTGAATCATTGCATTCCTGAATCTTTTGTTGATGGTTATATAATCAATTTGGTTTTTAGTTTCTCCTCCTGGACTCCCCCATGTCCACAGTCATCTTGGTTGTTACAGTCGGCTAATATTGATGAATTGATGCTTTTTTTAAAAAATATGTTCTATATTAATCTGCTTGTGATTTTCTTTCTTAGTTTTTCTGTAACATTGGCTCATCATTTTCTATACCCCATCTTTCCATTTATATTTTATAGCATTTTTCTGTCATGATTGATATTTATTTATTCCAATTTGGATCTGTCACTCACTCCCAGCTTGTTCCTCTCTCTCTTCATCAAGTCTTGCCTCTATTCATGTCTACCTAGGTCTTGTTCTAAATCTACTTCTGTCTATTTACATTTTTCTCTGTCATACACTGTCTATTTATGTCCAGATCCATTTCTATCAACTTTTATTGCTCAGTCTATTTACATCCATCCATTTAGTGGATGTGTGGCTGGTGTAATGGACACCAGCTCAAAATGAGAAACTGGAATTCCAGTCAAGTTCATTACATTCACTTATGTGTAAATAGCCTTGGGAAAGGTATGAATCCATCTCTTCTCTCCCCAGCTGTTGGTTAAATAGTAAAACTTGCATCTGGAAAAATCATTGTTATTATGAAAAAGAAATTATTAATGCAATATTCACTCATAAAATAAAAACCAAGAAAACAATTATTCTTACAATCCAAAATATATTTTGACTTGACGGTTCATAAGCCATGAAAAACAAATCAACCTATCCATCTATCCAAATCGATTCACATATCTCTCCTCTCTTCACATCTCTCTCTCTCTCTCTCTCCGCTCTTCACATCTCTCTCTCTCTCTCTCTGCTCTTCACATCTCTCTCTCTCTCTCTCTCCGCTCTTCACATCTCTCTCTCTCTGCTCTTCACATCTCTCTCTTTCTCTCTCTCTGTTCACGTCTGTGTATCTTCTTTTTTTTTTTTTTTTTTTTTTTTTTTTAAGCGTTTCACCCCAAGCAAGGCGGGAAGCCACTAGGATGCAAGGGGTTACAGAAGATTTGGAGCAAGATCAGATAGGAGTGATAGAAGAAAGGATAAGAAGAAGGATAGTGGATAGATCAAGGCAACTGGAGATGTCGATTGACATTACATTTGAATAGTTGGAGATTATAGCTCTCAGGGAAACTGGAATAGGGAAGGGAGTTACATAGGCGAGAGGTGTGAGATATGAAGCTATTAGAGTAGAAGAGACAGCTACATTTAGGAGTTTCGACAGTGAAAGGGTGAGAGCGGGATGCCAGCCTCATAGGGCGCTTGAATTCATGAAGTCTGGGAACCAGTAAATGCAGCTCCTCAGAGCAATTACCATGAAAGTATTTGTAAAAAAGACAGAGCGAGGCGATGGCACGTCTGTGAGAGATCGACTGTAGGCAAGATGCCAGAACAGGGCCAATTATATTGCATATCCACCTCTGGAGCTATTCAAGAACCTCAAGGCAAACAGAAGGGGCTCCAGACCATATATGGCAGCAATACTCCATGCAAGGGCGAATTGTTGATTTGTAGATCTGAAGGATCGATTCCGAGGAGAAAAATTTCCTGGCGTGGCACAGGGAGCCAACTTTCTTTGCAGTGGACGAAGCAATTGACTCAATGTATTTGTTCCATCTCAGGTCAGCAGTCAACGTGAGACCAAGCAGCTACAGAGAGGTGCTCTCATGAAGTTGAGCGTCAGACATTCTAATGGAGGGCAGGGAAGGATCTCTGTGGTGATTAATAGAGAGCAGTTTTGTTTTTGAGGCATTAAAGTTGACCAGCTAATTCCTGCCCCAGTTCACAACCGATTGAAGGTCCTTTTCGAGACGCACAGCCAGGTTAGTTTTGTCAGCGACACTAGATTTGTTTTTGAGGCCGGAGTAAATTGTGGTATCATTCGTGTAGATGCCAACTTGGGAATTTATGGCATCAGGAAGGTCATTTATGTAGATAAGGAATAGAGTAGAGCCTAGGATGGAGCCTTGAGGAACACCTGTGTTCGTGGGATAGGAACTGGAGGAGAATCTGTTGAGAATGACCTTCAATTCACGGTTTGACAGGAATGATTGTATTAGATCAAACAATCAACCTACAATACCATAACCCTAGAGCTTGCGAAGAAGGCCGGCATGCCAAACCCTATCAAATGCTTTGGAGATGTCTAGGGCCATGGCACGAGCTTCCCCGTTATTTTGAAGAGCTTGGTAGACAGTTTCAGTGATGACTGTAAGCACATCAGCTGTAGATCAGGCAAAGCAGAAGCCATATTGCTTGTCTGAGAGCAGATCATGGGATGTAAGGTGGTTAACCACTTCAGCATTGATTAGGGCTTCGAAGACTTTGCCGAAGAGGGGTAGGAGACTGATAGGACAGTAATTAGAAGGGTCAGAGGGGTCGCCAGAGTTCTTGAAGACAGGAACAATCGAAGAGGACTTCCAGCAGTCAGGAAAACAAGATTCCTTGAGGCAGTAATATAGTTTAGAGAGAGAGAGGGTGCCAGTTCAGGCGTGCATTTCTTCAAGACAATGGCTGGTATCTCATCCTCACCACTAGCCTTGTTGGGGTCTAAATTGGAGATAACGCCCAATACCAAAGACGGGGTTATGTGTAACCCACTCAATAGGGCCTCAGTTCTAAGAGGGAAGTCGGGTATGGGTACACCGGAAGAGTCGAGCGTTGAGTTGAATGAAAATTTCCAAGCAAAGCATTCAGCCTTGTCGGCAGAGGAGGTCAGGACTTCGAACTGGTTGAACAAAGTAGGTATAGAGGGTTTGCAATTGTTCAGTATGCTCTTGCAGAGACGCCAATAATCTTTGGAGCGAAATTTGCAAGATGCAATATGCTCCTTCATCCAAGCAGCAAATAGTGACTTAGCATTGTTGAGGACACGTTTACACTCATTACAGGCAGAGGCAAAGAGATGTCTATTGCAGTCCGACATGTTGCTACGAAATAGGTGAAAGAAGTGGTTCCTATGGGCGATGGCGGCTGAGCAAGCAGCGGAGAACCAAGGGGAGGAGCACAACTTGACCCTATATTTTCTTGAGGGGGATGAAAGCATCGATTCCAGCTTTAACCCAGTATGAGACCTCAGAAGCCCATTCTTGGACGGGGAGCGTAAAGACAACATCCTAGGGGACAACGCTGAGGAAATCACGGAACGAGTCCCAGTCAGCTCATTGATAGTAGAACGAAGTTCTACTGGTAGGAGGTTCTTTGCAGGGGGTGGAGTTGAAGAAGATGTTAACAGATACTACCGCATGATCAGAGTTACCAAGAGGGCAGAGTTGCATGGCACTACAAGACTCGAGGATGGAGGTAAAACACAGATCGAGAAGAGAGGCCTTACCTTCCTGGTTGTAGGCAAAATGAGTGGGGAAGTTAACTATCTGCATGAGGGATTGAGAAACTGAAAAATTAAGTGTTTGAATGCTTGCATGGTCAGTAGTAGCATTCTTAAGCCACTTGGTATGATATCTATGTGAGGTGCTAAAAAGAAACACTTTGCAAAAAAAACAAAAAAATTGATATTTAGTCAATTGGTCAGATTTTGGGAAGCGTGCTGAGCAGAGAACTTTTCAGCAGCCCTTCTTATCTATCTTGGTCATTTCATATTTATCTGCTCAGGTCAGTCCACTTTTGCGCATTCATCAGTCTCTGTTCATTCATATCAATTAATCTATCTTATTCTCCTCTATCTGCTTTGTATTTTCTGTCTATTTCTATCTTTGATTCTTACTGTTATTTATCTTCCTATCTCTCTCACTGTCCATTTCCTTTATAACATTCACAGACATCGACTTACTATCCTATCCAGCCAATATAGAAATATGCAGAAAATCAAATATATATTTTCCATCAAATGTGGCAAGAAAAAAAGAACGATAAGACAAGTAGAAAGGGTGGGGAAAACATAGAGAACTAGAGAGAAATGAAAACTAAATCAGATTGCATAAGAGAAGAGTCCTGGTTGTGGTGGTGCAGGTTACATTGGTGCATTTATTATCATTTGAGTCTGGCACAAAAATCTATACTTGATCTGCTTCTGACTTGATGGATATGACAAAGCAGACAGAATATTTTCAGTCTGCCAATAGCCAATCCCGCCAGTATCCACATATGCATAACTATAATATTCTATACTCTTCTTTTTTCCTATTTTCTCTTTCCTTCCTCCTCTTCTTTCCTTTTACCTCTTCTTTTTCTTTCTTTTCCCTCTTCCCTTTTTTCTACTTCCTCTTCCCTCATTTTTCCAACATCTATTACTCTCTTCTGTATCTCTTCTTTCCTTTTCCTTGTTTCTTTTCCCTCTTTTTTCCTCATCCTATTTTCCTTCTTCCACTTCTCTTTTTCTCTTGTGTTTTCGTCTTTTTTTCCCACCTTCTATTTGCCTCCTCTATGCCACTTTTCTTCTCCTTTCTATTTCTTCTTTCCTCTTTTTTCTCTTCTCTCTTCTGTTTCCCTCTTCCATGCCTCTTTTCATCATCATTTCTTTTCTTCTTTTTTCTATTTCTTCTACTTCTCTTTTCCTCTTCCCTATTCTGTTTTTTCTCTTTCTTTTTTCCTACTTCTTCTTCCTTCTTTTTTCCTTTCCTCATCTCTTTCTTCTATTTTCCCTCTTCCACTTCTCCTTTTTTCCTTTTCTTCTTCTTCCATTCTTCCTCTCCTTTCTTTTTTTCCTTCTTTTCCCTCAACATGAATACTATTCTTTCTTAGTAATCAAATTGGATAGTTAATACCGATTTTATGAAGGAAACACTGACTTGCATAATAAAATATGACATTATGTACAGAGCAAAGGTTTGAAAGATAGACATTTTATTGGTGTGGTGCATTCAAAGCCTCAATGGATACTCTGTTTTTATGGCCTTATACCAGACTAAACCAAACTTAGTATTAATCTACTGAATTTTATGAGTAGCAAGATAAACTTGTAGACCAGTTCACTTGTGTGTTGAGTTTGATTCCCTCCTTGTGTCAGACTAAGCTAAGTTTAGTAAATATATTTAATACAGTTGCAAAACTGTATTCCTAGAAATTGTTTTTCCTGTAAAACAGTTTATAGATATCAAAAGAAAGGAAGCTGTGGAGAGCTATGATCACTGAAAGGACATGACACTTAAAGATTGAAACACCCTATCCTTGTTTATGTACTTTCAAATAATACCTTTCTCATATTTTTAAGTCTATATTTTAGTTCGACTGCACTTACAGAGAACTTCAGGTTGCCTTTTAGTTATAAATGAGTCAGGTTCAAGTTCTAGCTGAGGCCAGTTGATATTAACTTCAAACACATATTCTTAGGAAAGACGTGAATCTATCTTTTCTCCTTTTTTAACAGAACAGAGTCAGTTCTCTAGCCTTGGTTGGCAACCAGCCTAGACAATAAACAACTCTGAATTCAAAAAAAAAAGAAGAAAGCAATTAGAAATCACTCAACAATCTTTCCCAAGAACAATTATGGTAACACTTAGTTTACAGATATTAAAGGTAAAGAAGTTGCAGAAAACAATGACCACTTACATTCTGAAGGGAATTTATAATTTAACCTTCATTAGTACCATGGGTTGTTTGAAAAACCCACAAAATATTTTTTTCCTTAAAATTAAGCAAGTGGCAAATTAAATTTTCATGATTAGTCAAGCAGCTTTCTGAGTACTGCTGTCAAGTAAGAAGGAGTTACTAGTTTCAGTCATAATATTTGTATGAATTACAAGTAGTTGTTTTATAAAATTAAACCTATTTTTTAATATCAGCCTTTTACATTTTTTTGAATCATTTCACCCAAGGTAAATGATAAAGCCACTAAGATGCAAAAGGTTTACTGAGACTGAAAAAAAATGAGAAGACATTAGTGAGGAGAAAGGACATTAAATGACTAAGATTTGGAGACATAGAAGATAGCAATTGATGTTGCATTTAAATTTTTGAAGATCATAGGTGACAAGAAAACAAGAAACCAAAAGACAGAAGTACAAGAAAGAAACTAATAGAACTTACTGCTACATTAAACTATTTCAATAGTAAAATGGTGAGACATAATTGCCAATGTAGTAGTACGCTTAAATTTATGTGGTTGAAGTACCAAGGAAGAAAGCTTATTAGAACAATTGCCATGAAAATATATATGTAGAAAATTCAGAGGAAAACCACATTATGGTGGCACCAAAATGACTGAAGTCAAGATGCTAGGATAAAAAATCAGAAAGAACTCTCAAGACAATATACAACAATAAAATTAAGAACTAAATGATATATTTTAAATGGGGTGTTTGAAAATTCCATGGTTTTAGAGAAAATGGGAACAAAAGGACATATATGTAGCATCAGGGAGTATTGAAATTTCTAATGAGGAAAGAGGTCTTGGAAAGTGTGACACTCAAAGGACATATTGAAGGCAAGGTTTTTCTCAGGAGTAGATAGGTTCTTCTATGGTCCAGTTCATACTTCTTTGCAGTCTTTTGAACAACAGTACAGATTTATCCTTTGTTTCTTGTTTATGATTGGGTTTCTGGTTCCTTTTAAAGTCTACTTCAAGTCTATACTTCTAATGTCTCTGCCTAAACTCTAAATTTTTATTTATTATTTTTTTTCCTTGATTGGAGTAAATAGGTTCACCTCTGGTTCACATTCCATTCTGGTCTTTTGAACAGGAGTAGAGGTTTATCCCTTGTTTCCTGTTTAGGATTGGGTTTCAGGTTCCTTTTCATTCTCTTTCACTCCCAGTAACCCTCTGTGTGTTAGTGGCATTTTCACCTTTCTTGGGGTGAATGAATAAATAAAAAAAGGGACAGAGGAAAGCAGTGTATAATTTACCTAACAAGCTTGTGTAAATGATTGCCAGAACAATAATTAGGAGACAAGCTATACTAAGAGCTACAATAGACAGGAAATTGTGGAGAGTCATGATCATAAAGGTAGAAAATGGTGGGATGGATAAATTGTCATCTAAAAAAATGCAAACATGAAAAGGACACTAACATCTCATTTTAACAGATATATTTACCAAAATTACACAAAAATATCTTGACATACTGAAGAGTAAATTTATTCAATAAAATTGTCATTGGCTTCAACCACTGCCTCCAGACAACTTCGGAATCTCCTGCAACTCTTTTGAATGCTTTCCTTGTTTAAGTTGGTGAATGCTGCCATAATCCTTGCCTTCAGTTCATCTTTGGTGTTACAAGGGGTTTTGTTGGTCTCTCGCTCAACTGTGCCCCATGCATAATAATCAAGGGTGTTGAAGTCTAGGGAGTTAGATGGCCAGTTTTAAAGAGTGATATGGTTGCAGAAATTGTCTAACAGCCATGACTGGGTTTTACTGTTTGTGTGGCATGGTGCAGAGTCCTGTTGCTAGACATAGGGTCTTTCAGCAACCATCCTCTTGAGCCAAGGCAGTACTACCTCCTCAAGGCATTTGATGTAGGTTTCCATGTTGCATGCACAAAATTAAAAATATAAAATGGCGACAATATACCAATCGCACCCTGTAGAAGAAGAACTGTAAGAGTTTCCTCTGATTTTAAATCTAATATTCTATTTAGCTTTTTTGACTTGTAAAGTTTTCTATTCCCAGCCAGAGAAGGTTTTCATGATAAACTTCTACATAAATAACTGACTCTGTTTTTAAAACTATCATCCATGTACACTTTATTGATTTCCAAGATGAACAGAAATTTGGCAAAGTGTGTGTTTTCTCAATAGTATTTGTATTATGTAATTTCACATGTCAGATGTATTTTTGTGTGTGTGTGTGTGTGTGTGTGAGAGAGAGAGAGAGAGAGACAGCCTAAGAGAAAAGGAGGAAGAAAATCACAAAAGAAGTGTTGTGTAGGTGTTTTAACATTCACTGATGCAAACTCATAGCTGATTACTGACCTTTGGAAGACAACATTTTCAGAATATCTCAAGTGTTGTCTATTATCTTGACACTGATTTTGCTGTCCTCAGGCAACTCATTCCCATTACCAGCTTTTCCTTACAGCTGGTAAAAAACAAAAAATATTAAAATTAAAAATCTTTTTTTTCTGTTTCTATTCTTTCTTCTTTCGACTATCTTCCCCGTCTTCACCATATTGTTATTTATGTTTCATTCATTTGCCTGAACCAAGTGGCTGATGGTTATCCTTGGAGACTGAGTGACAACAAGTCTCAAATATCCCTGCATTCTTCTCAGTATCCTCACAGACCTCAGTAATGAAATTGTTTGGACACTCTCAACTCTTCCTCAAATATCTAATTCACCCAATCTTGATTTTAGTGTTTTTTGGTACAGTCCAAATATTCTAGCAATTAAAGGCAATACTCTAACTATAATGTTCTACATTTTTCTTCACTCTCTAGCAAAGTCCTCTGGATATTTCCAATTTTTCACATCCTTTTTTTTTTACTCTGTGGTTCACTGACATAGACACATTTACAATTTGACTGTTCCTTTTTCTCTTGTTTACAGCAATGTCTTCTATTATTTGTGTAATCAAAACATCATGATGACACTGTAGTTGCTCATTTGGGTTCCTACTTCAGTGTTTTAAGATATGGTTGTTATGCTTCTGGTCATCCATTCTGAAAGATTTCTTAACCCTTTGAATCCTGCATTCCTGAACAATTTTAACCCTTCTGCTTGAGCTCCTGAGTCAAAATTCACAAATAATTGGTATATAATGTTTCATGGTAGATATAAAAATAGTTACAAAAATATAAGCATTATACTTAGCAAGGAGAGAGTATGATTGCATACTTTCATTTTATCACCCAAATTATTATTTTTTTTGTGTGTGTGTGCCATTCTACCCTGCTTCTCTTGATGCACAAAAATAGCAAAACACAATGCAAGTGTTTACCCACCGTTGAACTAGTAGCTGGGCATTAAGTCAATTTTCTCTACTACTGGTAAAGTGGTGGTTAGGTTTCAAAGGGTTAAAGTAATTTTCAAGTTGCTGTGACAATTTATCATATACTATGTGGCATTTTATCATATACTGTGTGGTATTTCTTGTATCAATATTTATGGATTCTATCTGGATCTGGAACTTCCAGGTGATTATTTTCTAGTGTGTTCTTAGAATAGGTGATTTTAGTTTGAGGTTTCAACATTTGTAATTATTTTTAAATTTCCAAGTTTTGTTTGGTTATTTTTCTTTTCACATGGTTGTATTACATTATAAACGTCTTTGTCATAGCATCTAATCTTATGTTTCATTTTCTATCTCTGTTTATGTCTCTGTAAAATTCTCATGCAGTTCTGCATGTATTGTGGGATTCTTGGTCATTACTATTTTAGACTTGCTTTTCTGGTCATTCTTTTTCCTCTTTATTTCCTCCACTACAGTGGCTATTCCCTTTCATTTTATTTTGAACTACACCTCAGATTATAAGATATATTCCTGTTTTATTTTTTAGTGATACAGTGATGTGACTTTTAAGTCTGATTTCCCAAACCGCTTTGTTACTTGTGGCCGCAAATGAAGTCACTCAACTCTCTTATGAATTTCTGTCTTATTTTTGGATAAACTGCTGTAGAAATTGTCATAATGCTTCAAGAAGCTTTTAAGGGATAAACCTCAGGTAAAATAGAAATATACAAATTTTATTTTATGTTTTGGACATGGTTAAATGTTACTTGACTAACCACAATCTAGATGACTAGCAAAAGTGATTATGATCTCCAAAATGTTTATCACTCACTCAATGAAGATTTTGGATAAGATATC